ACTGTCAAAGCAGCACAAAAATATGACATGCACTACAATAATTATTCACTTCATTGGATGGGATGCACCTCAATATACATCGTTTGTTGGGAGGAAATTGTTAGAATTTATAGAAGAAACATTCCTCTGTTATTACGAAGTACATGATAATTTAGGGATTAATTAGTAGATCTGACGGAGTGAAATAATATATAACGGGCACAGGTAAACGTGGCAGGACGTATTTTGTAACGCCAGACACCGCGAAACGCGTTAGTCAATAGACACCCGCACACGACTGAGGTTGGCAGCCAACTAAGTGAACTAACTAGAGTTTTTTTTCAAGAGATGGGAGCGCTGCCGTAGCCCAAAAATTTGACTCTTAAATCAGCCCAAAAGCCAATGCCAACCCTCTACATGCAATAGACAGTTTGTGGGATGAGGCATTGCTTGTTTCAAGCTGGTGTGGCGAGATGAGGCAAGTAAGAACAGCTGCATAGGTATTAGACTGACTATTTCTATTGCATGTAGAGGGTTGGCATTGGCTTTTGGGCTGATTTAAGAGTTAAATTTTTGGGCTACGGCAGCGCTCCCAGACTGTCAACATGGCCTTATTGCCGGTTGATCCTGCACCACTAACCTCTTGTCTACTCTACGATTTGACTCGCCTGCTGGGCGAAAGGGAGCCAGTGGATGCAGTGTACTCAATCTTGCCACAGCATTTGACAGTGTTCCGCATGAGCGGCCGTTGCGTAAATGTTGCGTAAAGAGAAGTCTTTTGGGAATAGAAGGACACATACTCCAATGGATAAGAGATTTTCAAGTAGGTAGACGACAACGTGTCCGTATTAATGGAACAGTGTCAGACTGAGCATCATTGCGCAGTGGCGTGCCACAAGGAAGCGTTCTTGGGCCTGTTTTGTTCGTTGCTTTTATAAACGATCTGCCAGAAGCAGTGTCCAGCGTGTGCTCCATGTATGCCGATGACACAAAAGTTTATAATTCATTGACGGATACGTCAAATAAAGTACAATTGCAAGATGATCTTGACAGTTCAGTTAACTGGGCTGATTTGTGGCAGCTGTGTTTTAATGCCGACAAGTGTAAAGTGCTTCACCTCGGGAAGAACAATGAACAGCAAGGTTACAGTATGAGAAGACAAGACTCGTTGCATGCATGGCAAGACTCGTTGCATGGTTGCAACGAGAGAGTAAGGATCTAAAAGTCTAGTGTGGAAAAAGATTTGGAAGTTTATATCAGCAATGAGCTGAAATTTTCTGAGCATATTGAAACGCAAGCTAATAAATTCATTAAACTTCTTAGACTGATCAGATGTTCTTACGAGTTCCTGGATGCAGAAGCGATGAAGCTGTTGTTTGTTACTGTCGTGCGCGCAAAACCTAACGTTTGGAAACGCCATGTGGTCACCAAAACTTGAAAAGGACAAAAATTTAGTAGAGATTTTTCAAAGACGTGCAACAAGGATAATTCCAGCCTTGAAGGGCGAGTCCTATGAAGAAAGATTTAAGATTATGAAGCTTCCAAGCTCTATGTTGTCGACGTCTGCGAGGAGACCGCATTGAAACATACATGTATACTCATGGCTTATAGAAGGTCCCAGAACGATTGCTAGCATTTGAAAGAAGAAGCAACACCAGGGGCCACGGCTATAAACTAAAAAAACTGCGTTCAACTCATCCGCCCGACAACATTTCTTATCGCTTCGAATCACCGAAATGTGGAACAGCCTTCCCGATTACATCGCTGACGCTCCGAGTATAAACGCGTTCATCAAGAGACTGGACAAAGCTATGAAGAAATATATGTTTAGACTTGAAATGCCTAGCACCATATCGAACCCGATGTAAATCTAGGAGATATTTCAAACTATTATTCAGTTTGAGAAAGATTCGGTGGAACGACCAGTTTTTAGATTCCTGTGTACAAATCACGAATATATAGTAAAAGAATCGACGGCAGGCCACATCAGGCCTATTTTTCAGCACCGACATCCCTATGCTATTCTATGCTATTTGAGTCAATATTTTGTCGTGAATCTAAATTTCTAGACAGGTCGCAACAATATCTCAGAGAAAATGGGATATTCTGAACCAGATGACATAAAATACAACTTAGGTTTTCATGGAATTCTGATCTGAAAACGACAATATTTCTTTCAGTTAACAAAAATTCGTTATGTACAACAATCTTATGAAATTTTTGAAGATCTCAATTCAGTTATAACTCCATGCATTTAAGAAACCTGGTCTAAAACTCACGTATACAAAATACTACATTTTGTATAATAGTCTACTATAAAAACTATTGCTTCCGAAATTTTACTACATAGGCTTCGCTGGAAAATACGTTTTACGTCAGTCACTTCTGAGTTTAGTTTTAATAAAATTAGTGGGGACTGTTCCAGTTCCTAAAATACAAACGGCATCGAGTGATCTTAAGACAATTCTCTGGAAAAAAAGCTTTTTAAAAAATGAGCTTAATACTTCATTGATTTTGCCTCATTTTCAATGACTAAGAGCGCTTGGGAGTTGAGATCGTGAGCCGGCAAGCACCAGCGATGTCCGGCGTACAGGTTTCATGTACAGTAAAGTTTTCAGGCGAGTTCTTTTCAACAATATATTCTCTATGTGACGGTTAACTGATAACAAACAATACTCTACCGCGTGCTACTTTGTAAGTCGTTATGTTATATTTTTACGCCGTAACTATAGTTGTGTTTGGATCTGTTATAATACCGCTGCTCTGCCCCCGCCCCCATCATGCCTCCATCTCAGCAGCTGCTCATGATCTGATACAGTGATGCACTGCAGTGACGCAGTGCAATGG